GTGAGACCCAGAGAGGAGAGAGGTGAGACCCAGAGAGGAGAGAATTGAGACCCAGAGAGGAGAGAGGTGAGACCCCAGTCTGAAGGAGGCAGGACCAGGGGTAGGGACTGCATGGACTGATGTCTGCCCTCCTGCCAGAGCTGCTTCACCACTGCTCGGACAGGCCCAAGAGCTGCTGCCCAGCACTGAGCTGGTTTTATGGACTGCCTGGTCCTTACCGAGGTCAACATCTTCCACTCTTGGCCACTGCGAGTAGGGGACGTTCTTGCAGAAGGCCTCCAGAATTTTCTCCTTCACTTGACTGAGTGTGTCTGTGTCCATGGCTCTGACGCTCAGGGAATCCATCCCACAGCCTTGGAAGGACACGTTGAGGTTCTGTAAGCAGAGGCTGCAGGTTAGGCGTGAGCTGCCTGGTTCTGCTGCCTGCCAGGAATTCCTGCAAGCTGTGGTGCCTGCACAGCTCTGGCTGATGCACCCTGGGCCCTGGGCTGATGGAAATTTAGCTGAATCAATGTGGCCATCAATGTTTACAGCATGAGATGCATTGATTGACAGGCCCAGGGGCTGAGGGCTCTGTGGACCCATCAGGGAGAGCACAGGAGCCCCAGAGCAGCTCCCTCTCACGCTGTCCCACTAAAGGGGTTTGAGCAGCACAGGCAGGAGGAAGGCTCAGCCCCASCAGCAGCCATGTCCTCAGCTGCTCAGCTCCACTGGCTGCTAACGTGGCTGCCAAAGCTCATTGCTCCATGCAAGGGACCAAACCCCACTGCTTAAACGAGAGCTACCCCTACTGCAGGATGGGATGGGTCTGCTGCAGAGCTGGACCTTGCTGCCACTCCAGAGCTGCTGCACCAGGGCACAGGCAGTGGGAAGGTCTGCAGGCTGCCCCAGACACTGCTCACAGACCCGGCAGGAACAGCTCCCTGACTGCATCAGCTGCAGCCAAAATCTGCAGGCAATGAGAGCAACTCTCTCCTCTTTTTGTCTGGGTTCTTTTCCTCTCACGAGCTGTGCAGAGCCAAACGCTGTGAGCACAGCAATCCCCTCTTACCTCAGCTCTGGGTACTCACCCTTGGCTTTGCCTCTATGTTCTCCCKCAGCAGCCACTCCTCATTGAGGGTGTACCTGGCCTTCCCTGTAATGGCATCGATGGAGCCCTTGTTAATCTGCTGTTTGATGGCACAGATCAGCAGGAAGAAGGGCTCTCCAACRGTTTCCTGAGGAAAGAAAAGAAGATCAAGTCAGCAAAGGAGAGCTGGTGGTGAGGGCTCCATCAGCAGCAGGCAGGACAGGCTTGGGGGGGACACTGAAGGTGCCTCTGGACACCAGAGAGCAGGACCTGTCCACCCCAGGGCTGTAAATGCCTGGAGGGGACATTGCCTCTCAATTCCCACTTGCATCTCCTTGGGGCTGCTCAGAAGTTTTCAGACATGTGGCAACATGACAGAACAGATGGGGAACAGGACATCACAGCCAACAACAGCCACAGGGCATTTTTGGGGATGCTGTAATTGTCAGCATCAACACAGCCCATCGGAGCTGTGCAGCAAGCACTGGAGCTGTGGATGCTGGGCCACCCTGCAGGCAGAGCTGGGTGCTGCTCAGAACCAGGGGCACATGCTTGGCAAAATACAAATGTGCATTCATCTACATGTGAATTACACAGGAAGAGGGAGAATCTGTGCTACAAAACACACTGTGCTACAGAGATGCTTCCTGCAATCTGACAGGGCACAGACTGCATGACATGCTGCACTCAGCAGGACAAGACAGGGCTGATGTGCACAGAAATACAGAGATATCTGGGCACCCTTTCTCATGAATGTGTCAGCAGAACCTCTTTTTGCACTGCCTGGTTTGCCACTGAGCTCCACGGGGAGCAGCCTGGCCTGTGGCTCTGGGAACCAGCTCATTCTTCTCATACCACAGCAGAAGCCTCAGCACAGCAAAGCAGAGAGGAGCAGGGTCAGCGAGCTGTTCCCATGGCACAGCAAGCAAACACACCATTTAACTCCTTACATTCATCAATGTTCATGGGACAGAGGTGAGCTGAGGCACTGCTGCAGTAAGAACCAAAGATATAACAAGGAGGATCTGTTTGTGATGACATTCAGCTATGCAGTTTAACATCAAATTTCGGATCCATTGCTGCTGCTGCACCGATGGGTAAGGGAAACATAAGGCATATTCTTAAGGAGCTCTTTGGTGTTAGAGTACATCCCATTCTCCCCAATGCTCACATTCAATTTCTTTCCAAAGTGCAGATTCTGCACATTTATGTTYTGTGAGCATCTCCCTCCCCCTCTGCACACACAGCTCTGCCATCTGAGAGCTGCTCMACACAGCAGATACCCAACCGTTTCGATATTTCTCAGCTAGGAGCTGCTAAATGCTGTTCAATCTGCTTCTTAATTAAAACTTGGTGATTCTTTTATTCTAATTGCCCTATAATTGCTGAAGCAATTAGTTCTGTGTCAATTTGGATGCGCTGCATTTGGTGTGGTTGATGGTGGTGATGCAGCAGAGCTGTCGGTGGCCAATGCCATCTGTGCCACAAGGGCACTCGATTCCTGCTCAGGGGTAACTCCATCAACACAGGGAGGCTCCTGGCTCTGCTGCAGGGGGTTAATGATTCCTGCAGTGCTCCTATCAGCAGGCAGCACAAAATGGGCTCAGAGCAGGGCTGCAGAGGCTGCAATGGAGGAAGGCATGGCTTCCAGAACGCAGAACAAGGTGGGGAGTCAGGAAAGTGGAGAAGCTGAGGACTGCAAAGAGTGGAGAATGTGCAGAGGACACAAAGAGTTCATTTTGGAGAGAAAGGCAGAAGCCACATATAACAAGGGACAACACCAACACAGAGACCTCGTCAGGCTGCAGTACCACTGCCCCATCCTGGGAGCCACAGGGCACCGCTGGCTGGCCCTGCACACAGGGTCAGGGTCAGGGTCAGGGTCAGGGTCAGGGTCAGGGTTCAGGGTCACTGTCACTGTCACTGTCACTGTCACTGCCACTGTCACTGTCACTGCACTGTCACTGTCACTGGCACTGCCATGCTGCCTGCAGGATCCTGTTTGTGTCACACAGGAGCAGGGACAAGCCTGAGGCCAAACCCAGGGCTGGGCTCTGGTGCCTGCCTGTCCCTGCCATGCCAGGCCTCCCAAACCATTCMAAAAGGGCAAATCCTACTGTTCTGAGAGCCCTCATGGCTGAAATGGGCACAGCTCTGTGCCACCTTYGTGCCCACACCGAACTGCCCCGGGCACTGTGGGGTCACTGCACACCCACACAGGATCCAGGCCAGGCCACAGGGGACACAGCAACAGCGCTCTGCTGCAGAAATGCTCTTTCTGTTGGACTGTTTGGCTTTCAGGCTCAGGAACTGCGGGATGTTATGGAAATCTGGAAAAGCGCTAATCAGACAGCGAATTTCAAAGCAGGGAAAGAAGGGCTGGCAGGCAGGGACTAGAGATAAAATGGCAAACTTGTGAAACCTCCAGCATTGTTCAGAAAAGTCATCTGGAAAGGAATCAAAACCGTCTTTGGACTTGGCTAGTTAGGAGAAAGGAAGTTTAACCAGAAGAGATCAGTGCTGATTCAGGACAAAAAAAAGTACTTAAAAAAACACAGTCTGGGGCCTTTTTTTCCTCCTATTGTGAATGTATTTTAATGAGACTTCATTTTCATTTTTGACTGAACTGTTATGGGCTCTTAAAGCTACCCAGGGCACTGAAATAAGTGCAGTAATGGAAAGCACAGTGCAGGCTGGCAGGACTTGAACTGCTCCACGCACGAGGAGCGTGGGAGGGCTTCATTTTTATAGGCTTGGGAAAATAAAAAGGTTTAGAGCACAGACTGGATTCACATGTTACTGCCCTATTAACACAACTCTGTCAAGTTATTATAGATGTTCTCCCAGGAACACACTACAGCCATTTCAAAAATGTTTTGGTAAGGCCAGGAACAGAAAAGCACAGAAAACAGCTGCTTATCCCAAGTGCCTGCTAATTTTGGGACAATTATCTGTTTGCATTCTGGGAAGAATCAAACCTCCATCACACATGCAAAACYTGGGTAAGCTTGGACACAGACATAAAAGCTGAATTCCAGAACCTTACTTTTCCTTTAATTCCCTGACCCTGTTAGGAGCCAGGCACAATGGTAATATGGGGAAGACTTTCTTTTTACGCTTTTTCCACCAAAACTGTAGCACAAAGTAGAGCTATGGACTATTTCATCTACARTCCTCACTCAGTTGTGCAGAGAGCTCTGCATTGATTGTGCAAATGCTGTAGGTCCCTCCCAGGCAGCCCCTTCCAGCCCATGCCATCCCCCAAATGCTGGGCCATCCCCAAATGCTGAGCCATCCCCAAATGCTGAGCCATCCCCCCAAATGCTGAGCCATCCCCCAAATGCTGAGCCATCCCCCAAAGACTGAGCCATCCCCCAAAGACTGAGCCATCCCCAAATGCTGAGCCATCCCCCAAGGCTGAGCCATCCCCCCAAAGGCTGAGCCATCCCCCCAAAGGCGGAGCCATCCCCAAAGGCTGAGCCATCCCCCAAAGGCTGAGCCATCCCCCAAAGGCTGAGCCATCCCCAAATGCTGAGCCATCCCCCAAAGGCTGAGCCATCCCCAAAGGCTGAGCCATCCCCCCAAATGCTGAGCCATCCCCCCATCCCCCCAAAGGCTGAGCCATCCCCAAAGGGCAGTGGGGACTCCATTCCCTTCAGGTGCCCTCCATGTGCACACCACGATGCCTGTGGCAGCAGCTCCCTCCCAGTGAAGACAGCTCCTTCAAATCATCTACCCCAAAACACAAATGGACGGGCTGTTATGCAGAGCATTAATGTGAAACAAATGTTCTGAGCATGTAGCGTTGACTTACAAGGGAAAATACAAGCACTGGGAATTTTTCCACTGCACAACGGCAGGGACTTTCACAGCAGCTGTTTCAAATAGACATTGTGATTAATGGGGATAATTCAGGAATGAAAACCAGGCCCATCATCACATGTCTGACAAAGCAGTGCTGCAGGCAGGCGGGCGAGGCTTCTTCCTACCAAGAAACAGCAGAGTTTGACCCGAGGAACGCAGAGCACATGGGAGGCGTTTGGCTGTTTAAATCACAGCCCTGAGATGACACCAGCTGTGCAAAGAGGTGTCATTGTTCCACCACAGGGGCTCTGTCCTCCTGTGCGTGGTGGGGAGGACAGCAGCTCTGCTGATCCAGACAAACCCCTGTCCCTTTGACAGCAGGGCTTGTGTCACTGGGACAGTTCAGGARCCTTTCCAGACACTCCTGTCTGCCCAATTCTTCTCCCTCTTCGTATTTCAGTGTCCCCTCTGATCCCACCCTTACTGTGATGCACGTGTGATGTCAGAGTCTCTTGGACATCAACTTTAGTGCACTTTAGTTTGAAAATCATTTGCTGTCAGAGGTCAGATATGGGCTGTGGTGATGTTCTGCACTGCCATGGCTTCAGGCTGGGCATGGAGGGGACTGCAAACCCTGAGTGCAGCCTTAGCCCTGCCAAGGACCTGCTGCAGGCACATGGAAATGGGTATTCAGCCAGGGGCCCAAGAGCTCTGCAGTCTCCTGGTGTCACCCTGTGCCCCCCTTACCCTGCAGTCACCCCACAGTCACCCTGTGCCCCCTCACTGCAGTCACCCCACAGTCACCCTGTGCCCCCCTTACCCTGCAGTCACCCCACAGTCACCCTGTGCAGGGTTTGGGGAGGGGGCACTCACAGCTCCCCCAGCCCTGCCCAGCCCTGTGCCAGCCTGAGGGAAGGGGCAGCTCCCACCCACGGCCACTCCTGGCCCTCCTCACCACCACTGAGCTGTGCAATGTGCTCAAGCCTCAGGCTCATGTGATAAGGCTCCACTTTCCTCTTTTTCCTTTTTCCCTGAGGAAGCCTTCTTGCTTGTCCATTTTTAGCACAAGCTGGAGATGGATCAGATGCCTTACATGTGGTCTCCCCTCCCCAAAACGAGAGGCCAGCACTTTTTTTCTCCAGTGGTTTAACTACAAGCACAAAATCTGAATATTAAAAAAATTTCACTAATTTCCTCTTTTCTGCCCTTCAGGCTGGATAGCTCTGCTACATTGGCACAGCCATCCTCATACACTCCTGTAACTCTTCTTTTATTCAAGTGGCTAATTGCATCAGCTAAAATGAAGATTATGAACAACAAAACCACAGGCTTCGGACAAAAAGTGATCATCTGGGATCAGAATAAATCACAGTATGTATGAAGACAATATAGAATCGCTTGTGTGAATGTAGAGAACACTCTGGGAAAAGAGACTTTCAAAAGCTTTTTCAAGGCTCTCCCCGTGGGTATAATGGGGTGTCCTCCAATTAACTGCTGTGGAATCAATTAAGTTATTGCTCAATTCTTCTGGGGAATTCCAAACAGAACTGGCAAATGTTGGAGATAAAGCACTGAACAGATGGAGTGCTGATGGCTCTGAGATGCCAAACATATTCCTGCTCATTCCCATCAGAAGACAGTCAGCCCTGTGGGACAACCCCACCTCTCCTGCTCAAATTCGTGCAGAACCAYGAAGATGCCTCTGGTGAGAGGCCCCACACCCTCTGGGCACAGGGGCAGGCACTTGCCAAAACCTCCTGCCATTCTGGTTATTTTTCAGCTTCCTGAAACACAATGAAAAYGCTGATCCACGCTCTCTGCCACAAAGACTGAGCTCTCCCAAACCCTGGGCAGAAGCAGAGACACAACTGAACTTCAGGTTCCTTTGTTACCCCTGAATCATTCGATATTCAATATCATCCAATCAGTTTGACAATTAGAGACAGTTTGAGTGGCACTGTTAGCACGAGTCAGGACTGCTGCCCACACTCCTCATCCCTCTGCACTCTGTGACCCTGCACCATCACAGGCTCTTACTCTGAGATAGCTGTACATGCAGATGGACATCCAGTTGGTCAGCATCTTCTCCACTACAGACTCTGTCCTCCTCAGCATCAGCTTGGGATTTTTGGAAGCTGAAGCATCTATTAGGTCCACCAAGAGGTCCTTCATGATGCTAGTGTAGTACTCCAGTTTCCCATGCAATGCAATAGTAAGCAGGGAGGCCAAGTTACACCTGAAACACAGAATGGTACAGGACTCAAACCCCAGTCAGTGAGACTGWCCTGCTGGCTGGCACTAAAACACCCAACACACAAAGGCAGTCTTTCAGACCATTCTCATGAGCCTTCTTAACGGTGTTAGAAGTTCCAACCCTCAGGTCAGCTTGCATCCTTTTACTGTTAAACCAAATCTTACTGTTAACCCAAATGAGTGAGGGCTCTACAGGGTTCATGGMCATCCATTTCTAGCAGAAAAGTGTAGGCAAATATAACTCAGTTGTCCACTGAAACACACAGCCAGACACTGGCTGCGTTATTATGGGTTAGGAATAAATCAGACTCCTCCAGGTGCCAAGTCTTTGATTCTGAAGCTCATACCTGTCTCTGACAGCAAAGTCCTTCTGTTGCTCCAGAGCATGGACAAACACGATGAGGAAGTGCTTGTTGTTGAGTAATGTGGAGAACAGAGAAATTCCTTCTTCCATGTTGGGTCTGCAGTTCTCAGGGATCTGAAAAAAAATTTAGAAAGCAGACTGAGAAAAGCCTGCATGGTGTTTTCCTCCACATTTCATTCCTCTGGAGTGCAGGGATGCCCCACCAGAGCACAGGGATTGTGAGCAGAGAGCCCCTTGTCCTGTGCCCCAGCAGTCAGCAGCTTTGCTGGCAAGGAGCTCACAGCTGGGCCAGCAGTGGCCACTCCATTCTGCTCAGCA